GTGTTTTATATTTTAAGATAGGTGTTTAATAAATTGGAGCAAAAAGATGAGTGTGACTAAGGCAGATATCAGTGAGTGAGATTTGAATTGACACACTTCACATGTACAAAATGAAATGTACAAAATGTACAAAATGTACATTTGATATGTACAAAATGAAATCTACAGGTACAAGTACCACTTGAAATAACTGCTGTCTTGATCAAGATGTACTCTGTAATTCAGTTGGACAATTAAGAAAGAATATTCCATACAGTACAACCCATGGCTCAGGACTAAGCTGGCTGTAGTTCTCAGCAATGGAATTAATAACAGTGAGGAATACCACTGCAGGTTAGAAGAGAATTCCTCCACAAAGAAGACTGTTGTGGCTTTAAAAGCCAACATGATACCCACCACATAGAAGCTGTGTAGTTGATCCTAATGGCCAGTGCTATGAAGACAACACAATCCTTAAAGTATTAGGAATATTACGCTTGGATGTTTTTGTGAAACTAATGACAGGTGTTACATACGTCCCATAACTTTACCTCATTTATTCTTTTTTTTTTTTAAGATTTTATTTATTTATTTGAGAGAGAATGAGATAGAGAGAGAGAGAGCATGAGAGGGGGGAGGGTCAGAGGGAGAAGCAGACTCCCTGCTGAGCAGGGAGCCTGATGCGGGACTCGATCCCGGGACTCCAGGATCATGACCTGGGCCGAAGACAGTCGCCTAACTGACTGAGCCACCCAGGTGCCCTTTACCTCATTTATTCTTGAGTGAATAGATATCTCTCTGACTGAATTAAACTCCAGAAACTCAACCACAAGTGGGAAAATTACCATATTGTTAAAGTAATTTGTTGAAGAACATCAGTTCTACTTACTCTGAATATCTGAATTGAATTTGAGATGCTTCGTTCATTTACTCATTTATTCAACAAACTTTGATTGAGCTCCTATTGTATGTCAAGGCTTTCAGAAAAATGCTAGTGATTAAAAAAAAAGAAGAAGAAGAAGCAAGTTATGTTAATTCTGATCAGGAATTGAGCAAAAATCCAACTTTCAAACAGACAAACTGGCAAAATATTGCTTTGACACTTTTATCTCGAGTTCTAGGACAATTTCTCTGTTAGAGATGTCAAAAAGATAAACTACACATAACAAATAAGATAAACTAGCTATAATATTCAATTCTTATTGATTAGCATGTTAAGATATATAAAATACGAGAAAATGTTTAAAATTTGCTAGAATGTAAAATGCATAAAATATCTAGTCACCACACTAAATTTAATCACCAGATCACATAACATCAATGAGATTTATTACTTAATTGATCATACTTTGAGACCAGTCCAACTCAAAAATATAAAAAAAGGTGGTGTATATCTTCAATGTGGGAGAAGCAGCAGCAAATGCCCTGTTCTAGAAGCAGGGTGTCACCAGATTTGAGGAACCTCGGTGCACTGGATCATTAACAATGCCATGTAGAAGTTTGGAGTTCTCCAGTTTTAGAGAACAGGTATCTAAAAAGCGTGACAATATTAAACAGTGTATTCTAAAAAGCAGAATGAGTTCTGTAGCTAATTGCTAAATAGGTTCGAATGAACAGAAAGTCCAAGAAGAGGTAAATATGGTAATTTAGCCTTAAAAGTTCAGGTCCTGAACTTTTAATCCTAGGAAGGTATTTGAAGTAAGATTCAAAAATCAGATATGACAGAATCACTCTAACATAAGCCTCCAAGGTTTTCAGGTACTGATAGTGCTGTTAAAACAAAACAAAACAAAATTAAGACCAGACATTTTTGTAAGTGTTTGTTATAGGAAAGAAATAGATTAGAAATTAGAAGGGCATTGCAATGAGCTGAACTTGGTTTTATATTTGAAAAATGTGAAATGCCTGGCATGCAGCTAGGGTTATAGGTATAACAATTAGGAGTATGGGTACAACTTAAGGCTCAAATAAGTGGGCAGTCATGAGAGATTTGTAAGGTAAGACTTTTTAGAAAAAAAGTTTGCTAAAACTTTGTAGTAATAGGATGTCTACATTCAGAGACCAAAAGTAGAATGAGCCAGCAAGTGTTACAGAAAGATGTCAGAGGGAAGGAGGGCTAGAGTGTTAGTTTTTCAGCGAGCCATCCAGCAATCATTATAAGGGAGGAGGTGGATGGCAGTGGGTTAGCAACAGGATTAAAGAGCACGGAAAATTCTAAGGTGGTTTAAGTCAGCCTCTGATGGGACACAAAAAGGTGTGCAAAATCATGATAATGTACAGCAGCTTATGTCAGTTTCTATGTGTTTAATTAAAATAAAATGGCATATATACATGTGAATATGCATACATTCTTATGTATGGGCACATGTTATCTTTCCAGGAATCTTAAGAACAGAGAAAATAACACAACAAAAATGTTGTGCACCTTACTTGCTAACCAGAAGGCTTCAGAACTCAGGGAGCCAGCCACATCCCTCTACCTCCAATACAAATATTTATTGCATAAACTGATCAGAGAAATATCTCACTATGACTCAGCTAAAACTTCACTTCGAGAAGAGTAAGAAACTGCTGCTAGTGGGAGCCAGGAAAGGGAGTGTTCCTCAATGGGCACTCCTATTTGTTTGTTAACATCCCCTGGACCCTCTTCCCTGTAGCAAAAGTGAAATATGGCTCTGTCTCCACTTTTGTGTACAGAGGAACAAGGGAAGTCAGAGGATGTCTTATAGATTGTACAGAAACACAGAGGGAATGAACACTCTGTGGAGCACTTTTTACAGTTGCTGCGTGCTAAACCCGGGTTGCGCCATTTCATCCCCACTACCCATACTGTGCAGTAACTAGGATGAGAGGAGGAAATTGAGCTTAGAAAGGTTCTATGAAATGAACCACAGCACCAATTAAAAGGCAGAGCTGTAATGCAAACCCAAGTCTCTCTGTCTTACTAAATGTCCTTCTCTTCACAGCCTTATCTCAATGACATGAATTCCAGAGCCTTTTCCAGGCAGGAGCTAAAATAGCAATGAAAGATTAACCATGTGTTAACTGCAATGTTTGCCTATCTCCTTCCCCAGCCCCAGTCTAGCACTTGATTAGCCTTATAAGTTAGTGTCACTTTTTTACTTCCTTTCATTAAAAAAAATCCTTATAAAATACTCTTACCCTCAGTGAGATAAAATTACCTTTCCTAAAGACAAGCTAGAATAGCTGCATCCATGTGAGTTTATGCACTTCTATGAGGTCTGAGATGAGAGAACACAACCTTCACTAAGGATAGCTAGATGTTGAACACTGATGTAAACAGAGACACACATCTTGTTACTGAGATACCTGAAATTTGTTGCCTGATGACAACAAGCAATCCAGTAGCTAGCTAGACACCACTGGTCAATAAGTGTATTGTAACACAATGGAGCAATGGTACCCAGGGATCTAGATTATCAGTCATGATATGCTCCATCCATCCCACTTGGGAAAATTAGTACCCTACTCAACAACTTAGCAGTGTCAGACCTTCATGCCAAAGAAAACAGTATCCTATAAATGGAATATAACAAATTCCAGGCTACCAAAGCTCTAGCCTTTTGGACAAGGGTAGTATGTTTGCTGGCACAGGATGTCTTATTTACTTATTTATTGGTTTGTCTGTCTGATTGCTTATTTCTTTTTGCTAATTCAAGTAAGTGATTTATGCAGTCTGGAACTAGGCAAATGGCTAAAGTCTTATTCTTGGTGTCTTGCTTTGGATTCTGAACAGGTCCAACATACTGAAAAATTTGAAACATAAACTTGGAGCCCTATCATTCAGGTGGCATAGCCTCATTTAAAAAAATCCAAAAAGAACTATTTAAAATTAGACAGCATTGATGAATTTGATATTCCAAATGATTCAGCCTGCCATACCTGACAAAGAACTGTGTTCTTCAGTTACAATGACATACTAAGGGGTAACAAAGGCATTACCCAAAGAAGGAAATCAAAAGACCTGCACTTCTCAGTGACCTCCTCTTTGTTATTCCTTTCAGGAGGTCAATCAATTTGGAAGATATAGATGGGATCTTTTTAAACTTGGTAGATGCACCTAAATTAGAGCTAAAGTTATCTATGAAATTCTATGATTTTATGACATAACATTGCTATTTCAGTTTCAAGATGTTCCTGTGGTTTCTTTGACCCTATTTTATAGATTCTATAAAATTTTCCTCTTTGAGTTTATCAAATTATATTTTTCTCATTATTTTCCACTTTCCAATAAGAGCTTTAATGATGGTTCTAGGAAATATTTTAGCTTTTAATTTTACCTTTTTCATAGCCAACAGTTAATGTAATTGCCCTAAAACAATAATATTTTAAATAATAAGTTATAGACACAAAGAAGTTAAGGACAATTTCATGTTTAGCATACAGTTGAAAAGTTTATAGCAAAAACAAAAATAAAAGTAAACAAAATACACTTGACAGATTACAAATTTTTATTTATAAAATCATGGCTCTAAAGTTCCTGGGTAGAATTTTTTGTTGGTCTGAAATCAAGAAAGATAACACTGGGAATTTTTTTTAACATAATATCTTTATTGAAATATGATTAACATAGCATATAATTCACCCATTTAAAGTGTACATTTCAATTTTTTTTTACTATATTCACAGGTTTGTGAAAACACAACCACAATTATTTTTAGAGTATCTTCATCCCTCTAAAAATAAATTTTGTACCAGTTAATAGTCACTTCCCATTTCCTCCCAGAAACCCTCAATATTTGGCCACAATGAATCTACTTTCTGACCCTATAGGTTTGCCTATGGAGGACATGTCATATACTGTTTTTTGTATTTTGTGAGTGGCTTCTTTCATTTAGCATGTTTTCAAAGTCCATCTATGTTGAGGCATGTATAAGTACTTCATTCCTTTATATTGCCTAAAATATTCTTTTTTTAAATTTTTTTAAATGCAGCGTTGTTCTTTATATTTCCATGGTATACAGTAATGAAAATACATGAAGACTGAACCATACCAGCAACTTTCATCACCCGTCTTCACATTCATCAGAGCTTTCTTCACTTAGCTCCTCACTGCTTTCTCCTTCACTCTCACCGCTACTATCTTCTTCACTATCTTCATCATCTTTCTCAAGATTTTGGGATTTCTCCATCAGCAACATTTCTTCAATAAGTGAGAAAAACTCCTTGGCCTCATGATTTTCTGGTTCATAGAGTAGGATCACCTGACATAATTTTTTTGCCAAATGGTAGTCTTGGCCCATTTCTGCTCTCAGGAATTCTGCCATTAATTCTAATGGGGCATGAGTATCCTTATTAGGGTTACTGTCTTCATCATTATCTTCATCATTGGTATCATCTTCACCATCATTGTCCGTTGATTTAGACAACTTATCATCAATATCCTGAGGGCGATGTTCGTTATTTTTCTCCTGCGCTGCAAGGACTGCATCTTCGCTCACTTGACCTGTGCTTTCCTTTAAGAAGGAAGATGACCATAGCTTAGACTGTAGATTCGTTTCTGTATCTTTATTTTCAATACACTTTGAAGATACTCTATTTTCAGTATTCCTTAAAAAGCTGTATTTTCAATATTTTTTGAAGAGACTTCCTTCTCTGACATTGCTTCATTTGGTTCAATCATCACTTTCTCTTCTCGCGCGCCGCTTCGGCAGCTGTGAAGCTCCGGAGCCGGAACCCGCTCATGGTCCTCTCACACTGCCGGTCTGCAGGGCAGACACCACAGGCCAGCCCAGCTCGCGCGGTTCACGTGGAGTTCGGAGCGAGGAACCAGAGACACAGCATCGCCATGGAGATGAGACCACGGGCTCGCTGAATAATATTCTATTGTCTGAATATACCCCATTTTATTTATCCATTCATCAGTTGATGAACATGTGGGTTGTTTCTGCTTTTTGCCTATAAATAATGCTGCTATGAGTATTTGTATTCAGTTTTGAGTGAACATAGATTTTCATTTCTTTGGAGTACTTGTCCTAGGAATAGAATTGCTGGGTTGTATGGTAAATCTATGTTTAACTGAGGAACTGAAAGATTGCTTTCCAAAGTGGCGATACCATTTTACATCCCTATGAACAGTGTTTAAGGGTTCCAATTTCTCTAACTACATCCTTGTCAACACTATTATCTATGCTTTTTATTATTATTACTATAGCCATCATATTGAGTGTGATAATGATATCTCATTATGGCTTTGGTGCATTTCCTTTTTATTTTTTAAAGATTTTATTTATTTGCCAGAGAGAGAGCACCAGCAGGGGGACCAGCAGAGGGAGAAGTAGGCTCCCCGCTGAGCAGGGAGCCCAACGTGGGGCTCAATCCCAGGACCCAGAGATCATAACCTGAGCCAGTCGGAGATGCTTAACCCACTGAGCCACCCAGTCACCCCAATGGTGCATTTCCTTAAGGGTTAATAATGTTGAGCATCTTTCCATGTGCATATTAGGCATCCGTATATCTTCTTGGGATAAATGCCTATTTAGATCCTTGGCCCGTTTCTACAACGGATTATTTGTCTTTTTGACTTGTGAGAGACCATTATATAATCCAGATCTACAAATCTCTTACCAGATGTTATTTGCAAATATTTCCTCTATTACACAGGTTATATTTTCACTTTCTTGATGGTATCCTTTGAAGCACAAAACTTTAAATTTGAGGAAGTCCAATTAATTTTTTTCTAATGCCACTTGCACTTTAGTGTCATATCGAAAAAAGATTGGCCTAAACCAAAGTCACATGGTTTATTCCTATATTTTCTTGTAAGAGTTTTATAGTTTTAACTCATACATACCTCTATAATTCATTTTGAGTTACTTCTGGGTGTGAGGAAGGGATCTAACTTCATTCTTTTGCATGCAGATAGTAATTATCTCAAACCATTTACTAAAAAGATAATTTTTTTCTTTATTGAATTGCCTTGGCACCTCTCTCCAAATTGATCATAAATGTAAAGGTTCCTTTTGGACTCTCAATTCTATTTCATGGACTATATGTCAATCCTTGGCCAGTGCCACTGTTATCTTAATTATGGTAGCTTTGCAGTGAGGCTTTCCCCCCAGATTTATTAAGGATTTATTTCAATAATCACTGACATACAACACTGCATACATTTAAGGTATACAATGTCATAATTTGATACACATATATATTGCAAAACAATTACCACAATAATATATTAGTTAACAAATAGATCGCCTCACATAATTACATTTTTTTCTGTGATGAGAACATTTAAAATTTACTATCTTGACAACTTTTAAGGATATAACATAGTATCATTAATTCTAGTCACCACGCCATATAACTGATCCCCAGAACTTATTCATCTTATAACTGGAAGTTTGTACCCTTTGAACAACATCTCCCCATTACCCCCCCAACCACTGACAACCACCATTCTACATTCTGTTTCTATGAGTTTGGCTTTCTTTAAGATTCCACATATAAGTGTAATCATGCAATATTTTTCCTTCTCTGATTTATTTCACTTAACATAATGCCCTCAAGATCTATCCAAGTTGTTCCAAATGGCAGTATTTCCTTTTTAATACTGAATGATATTCCATTTGTGTACACACACACACACATACACACACACACACATCTTTTTTTTATCCATTCACCTGTTGATGGACACGTAGGTTGTTTCTATATTTTGGCTACTGTGATTTCATTTTCTTCAGATATATACCCAGAAATGGAATTGCTGGATCATCTGATAGCTCTATTTTTAATTTTCTGAAGAACCTCTATACTGTTTTCTCTAGTGGCTGTACCAATTAACATTGCACCAACAGTGCACAATGGTTCCCTTTTCTCCACATCCTCACCAACAATTGTTATCTCTTGTCTTTTTGATAATAGCCATTCTAAGAGATGTGAAGTGATAACTCATTATCATGATTCAGTAGGTCTGGAGTATAGCCTAAGATTCTGCTTTTCTTTTTTCTTTTTTTTTTTAAGATTTTATTTATTTATTTATTTAATTTATTTGAAAGAGAGAGTGGGGGAGGGAGAAAGAGAGGAAAGAATCTCCAGCAGACTCCGCACTGAGTGTAGAGCCCAACAGAGGGCTCTATCCCAGGACCCTGAGGTCATGATCATGACCTGAGTCGAAATCAAGAGTTGGACACTCAACAGACTGAGCCACCCAGGCACCCCAAGATTCTGCCTTTCTATCTAACTTCAAAGTGATGCTGATGCCACTGATATATGGGGCCACACATTGAGTAGCAAGGCTCTAATCTATTTGTAAACCCTCTTCCTTCCATTGCTTCACTGGCTGCAAAGCAAGATGCTAACATGTTACCTCTTTATCCATAGATTTCTCTTGGTGTTTATACTAAATGATTTCATTAGGATAAATAGCAGGGTGATTAGAATATGACTTTCCAAGAATATCACATTCCCTAAGAATCAAATGAATGTGAAATATTTCATAAACTAATAATTATTATGCATAATTGTTTTAAATGTTGACACATAGCTGAGTAGCAGAATAATTAGTCATAAATATAAAGGTAAAGCAAGATTGGATATGTCCAGCTGATGCAGGTTTCATTGGCACTAACTTAGAGAGTTGATATTAAAACTTCTGGGGCTAGATCCTTCTCAGTTCTTGTGTCAGCTGGCTTGAGCTGCCATTACAAAATACCACAGGTTGGGTGGGTTAAACAATAGAAATGTATTTGTCCCCAGTTCTGGAAGCTGGAAGTCTAGTATCAAGGTGCTGGCAGGGTTGATTTCTGGTGAGACCTTTCTTCCTGGTTTCCAGATAGTTGTCTTTTCTTTGTGTCCTAGTCTGGCTCTTCCTCTGTGTGCACATATTTCTGGTGTCTCTTCCCCTTCTTATAAGGACACCAGTCCTATTAGATTAGGGCCCCACGCTTATGACCTCTTTTAACTTTAATTATCCCCTTAAAGGCTCTAACTCCAATACAGTTACACTGGGGGTTAGGGATTAAAACATATGGATTTTTAGAGGGACACAATTCAGTCCATAACAGACTCCTCTTATCTTTATGTTTAAATCTCTTTATAACTGTTGCACGATTTTTCTCTAATTTTAAGGCCAAATTCAGATGGAAAAATACTCACAGCAATAGATACCATTGGTACAGATGAAAAAAAAAAATTAAGTTTTTTTTCTCTCAGCAGTTTTACCTTTCTTCAACTGCATAAATTATTGTAATCTACTCTTTTTATTAGATAACCAGCTAGTAGTTATTTGCTAATTTATAGCATCTACATAAAAATGCCCCTTATAATTTTGAAACCTGTCCTTAGACACAGCTAGCCCCCTGAAAGGGAGCATGACCCTTTCCACAAAATGAAACATTTTAAACAACATTAAACAAAGCATAAGAAGATTATTAAGCTATGATAGGGTACTCTACAATTACAAAAAATTTCTCTTAATTATATGTTGCTCTGACACTCAATAGAAAATGCAGATGAGCCATTTAATGCATTTATAAGTAAGATCAAATTTGAATATTCCAACTAAATATGCCAGTATTATCTGCTATTACCTCCTTGCTTGGGTCTTGTTTTTTCCCCTCACCTTTGGCCGAACCTTATTACTAAAACAGAGATTCTAGTTTCAGGCTTTTAATCCTATAAAGCAATCAAAAAAGAAAACATTCAAAACATCATTTAAATATTCATTTTTGGAATATAAGCCTAACTTGACATTACTAGAGTCAGGCTATTGGAGTTTTGCTCCAAGGTAATAATCCTTTCTCTAACACAAAGTCCACATATAATCATTTGTGCACTTTTACTCATGAAATAAAACCACAGGAGGTGTTGGTCTGAGTAAAAGACAAGTGCATGGGCGCCTGGGTGGCTCAGTTGGTTAAGCGACTGCCTTCGGCTCAGGTCATGATCCTGGAGTCCCGGGATCGAGTCCCGCATCGGGCTCCCTGCTTGGCAGGGGGTCTGCTTCTCCCTCTGCCCTCTTCCCTCTCATGCTCTCTGTCTCTCATTCTCTCTCTCTCAAATAAATAAATAAAATCTTAAAAAAAAAAAAAAAAGACAAGTGCATAATGGTGAAAAGAAACAAATACAAATGGAGACTTTTTTTTTTCTTCAATGTCTCCCTTTAAGATTTGGTTTTAGAATGAGTCATGCAGGCATATTATGTTGGTTCTCCATTGTCTGAGGGTCAGAACAGTTTGAAAGGAAGGACAGTGACAGGATAATTTTTGTTTAAATGCAAACACACATGCACAAATGCACTCTCTCTGTCTCTGTCTCTCTTTCTCTCTCTCTCTCACACACACACACACACACACACATTCCCCTAAGGAAGAATTTCTTATAATCCTAGATTTTCTTTTCCTTTTTTTTAAGATTTTATTTATCTATTTGAGAGAGAGGGAGAGAAAGCACGAGTGGGGGGTGCAGAGGGAGAAGCAGACCCCCACTGAGTGGGGAGCTCAACCTGGGGCTCCATCCCAGGACTCTGGGATGGTGACCTGAGCCAAAGGCAGACGCTTAACTGACTAAGCCACCTAAGTGCCCCCAATCCTAGATTTTCACTTTGACTTCATTTTACATATATTTTTTAGTTCAACTCCAAAATGTTGCTTTTCTTGAGGTGGTTTTGTTCTCTTAGCTGGCATAGTCTTATTTTTTAAAAAGTCATTAAGGGTGTAATTTGGAAAATCTACATTTGAAAA